TTCCCCCCCCCTCCTGCCGACCCGATCCCCTAGTGCATCCGCACCAGCATAACCCATCCCCCCCCCCCCCTCCACAGGCTCCTCGCGGCGCGTGGCGACAGGGCGAAGGTGTGGGAGGCGGCGCGATTTCCGGCGGTGTGGCGGGGTCTCCACGCCGCTGTTGTCGGCGCCGTCGCGAGCCCCGTGCTGCAGCTGTGCGCGTTCGAGGTGCTCGAAGCCGCCGCGGCCGATTGGCGCAGCGACCCCGTCTCTGGCGATGAAGGGTCTGAGGGCGCCAAGGGTGACGACGCTGGGACGCCGGCCGGGGAGGAGGAGGGCAAGGGTGATGGCAGTAGCGCTACCGCACCAGGCGAGGGCCAGTCGATTGTATCGCGGCTTGCGAGGGCCTTGGGTGGGTGGGGGCTCGCGTCGGCTCAAGCAGGCGGGGGGGCGGGGGGGGGCGTTGTTGATGTAGAGGGGTCCGACGGGGGAGGGGGTGCTGACGAAGGAGCAGGGAGCAGCTCGCCTAGCACGGAGGCCGTCGAAGAGGAGGCGAAGGAGCAGCAAGATGATCTCGAGCTCATCGCCAAGTACGTGATAGGTCTCGTAGGGGGAGGGAGGGAGCACGTGCAGTGGCGGCGGCGGTGCTGTTGGCTATTTAGTGCTAAGAGCACCGGATTGTATCGGCGTTACCTGTACAATATAGCCTTCTTGTTTTTGGCCTGTAAGGCTTCGCTTGTGTCAAGGAATATGCAGTCGATTCGTCGAGCACTTGCTGGACCAAGGAATCATTACATTAGTCTCCTGTTTCTCGCACCTTGAGACTGCGTCCCTCCCCTATACCTTCACACCAGTGCTTCAGGGGCACGTTGCACAAAGGAGCAGTATTTTGGATTATTTCGGAGACTCTCCGTCCTCCCTTCCTAAATTCAGCCCGACTGTGTTCACCCTATTCGATACAACAATATCGTTTCAGTTGATCCGCCACCCTGGGCGAGGGAAAAACGATTATCTCTCTTCAAGACTGCAATCAACAAAGACTCGTTTCGGGTGAATGCTACATGCTGTACGCCAGAGTTGCCCTGGTTTCCTGAAGTAACGACCGCTTCTTTCCGTGGGGTGCAGGTGTTTCCCGGAAGATCTCTTGCTGGCTGTTGAGGCGTTGCCGTCGACCATAGACGCGCTCGCAGAGGCACCACAGGCTTCAGCGAGGGCAAGGAGTGGCACTCGAAGAGAAGAAAACATTATGGCGGCACATGAGGAAGAAGAGGAGGGGAACTACGACGACAGTGAGGCAGAGGAAGAAGATGAAGCGGATGAGAAACAAGCGTGGGGCTCAGAAGAGGGTGCCGATGTCGATTCCGCCGAACGACCAACAAGCGACGCCTCTGCCGAAGAAGAAGAAGAAGAAGAAGAAGAAGGTGGTTCAGAGAGAGGAGATGCGGAAGAACACTCGGCCGACTCCGAACCGGAACAAGGAGGAGGAACCGCCGATGGGACTGACGGCGATATTGCCCCGCAATCCACGGCCAGCAAGAGCAGACGCAAGCGTCTCCGACGCCGCCTCAGCAGCAGCAGCGGCTCAACAAGGACGACAACGTCCGACAGGGGACAGGCTGGAAACATCCCCGGGGGGGGACGCGATCGTCGGCGCACTCCCGCTTCCGGTCCTTCCCTCACGGGCCCATTCTTGACGTGGCTACTTTGGCTGGAGCACTGCCGACGAGCGTCGGAGTTGGAGGCCAAGTCTAGGTCGGCTGCAAGGGTTTTCGTGGCGAGGGCTGGCGCGCTCTCGCCGGTGATGGAGGCGTGCTTTAGAGTGCTGCGGGCTTCGCAGGTGCTGTTAATATTTGCCACCGCTACAAATCCTCTGCGTTTTTGCTGTCTTGTCTGTGTCAGTCAAGTAGTGGTGGACTGTTGCCTTTTGACTCCCCACCGCGTGCTGCTGTTGCTGGTTTTATCATCCTTATCCTCCTCATTTTCACGATTATTTCTTGCTGTGTGTACTGTTTTTATGTAGCTCTCTGTCCGTCTGGTGCTAGTTGTGTGGAACATGATTTGGGTCGACGATTTTACTCTCTGCCACAATCAACTACCTCGCAGTCTTCGCCTTAGGATCCCTGTCCTCTCCCTCTCTTTCTCTCTCTCTCTCTTTATATATATATCCCCCCCCCCGCTTTCCTCTCTATCTTTCACCCTCTCCCTCGCTCTCCCCATCTATTTCTCCCCCCGCTGGTCCGGTGAGAACCCGGCGTGTTCCGTCCCGGTTTCGTAGGGACGCGAGGTCAATGGTCTAACGACTACGGCATACACGACTATGAATACACCCCCCCCCCCTCTCCCTCGTCCCCCCCCGGTGTTTGCCATCGGGGTTGGGTTTTCGTCGCTTGGCAACGACGTTGTAAAACAAACCGCCCCCCCCGGTGTTTGCCATCGGGGTTTGGGTTTTCGTCGCTTGGCAACGACGTTGTAAAACAAGCCCCCCACTCGGTGTTTGCCATCGGGATTGGGTTTTCGTCGCTTGGCAACGACGTCGTAAAACAAGCCAATTCGCTTCGTGAACTCGGCAACCAGGTTACCGTTTTTTTTTTTTTTACCTCGTTTTTTTTTTTGGCGGTAACCATAATGGTTGGTCGAGTAGATCATGTTGTGCGGGGTCGAGAAACCTCACTCCGCGCAACGGGGGATGATCGCACCACGTCGTGTTAAAATGGTCAAGCACCCTCGAGGCAGTTACACAGTGCTTACAACTGTCTCTGGAAGTGAAAGCACCAGAAAATAAATTAAATCATACGTAGCTGTCATCCGTACGCAAGGAAGTAAGCACAAGATGCCGAACACCCTTAGCAGGATGCAGCTCACCCTTCATGCGACTCGCCAAATACCTCACGGCGCTTCGCGCTTGGTGATGTGAGAGCCTGGTCCGGTGAGAACCCGGCGTGCTCCGTCCCGGCTTTGTAGGGATGCGAGGTCAATGGTCAAACGACTACGGCATGCACGACTATGAGTACACCCCCCCCCCCCCCCCCCCCCCCCCCTTTTTCCC